CAAGTAAAATGCTGCATAAAATTAATTTAATGTAGCATTTCTCTTTAGTTTGTAAAACATTCATATATATATATATATATATATGTATATATATAATCCGTATATATAGTGTGTGAACGCACACAATATTTCTTAAAAACCAGAAAATGATTAAAAATATTGTAAAAGTACTGTTGCATAAGAACACCAATGATAGTGAAATGAAGTGGAAGTAGAAATCACTGATTTCATTGACACTCAAATTTGCTTTTCTTTCTGTTCTGGTAATATAAGCTTTCAGTTACATGAAATCTTATACCCATTTAATCACAAACAAAACAGCATTCCTACCAGCATCAAATGATTTGGCCGAGATCTTGCTTGATACAAGAAACAAACATTTTTTGTACTTTTAAAAACTGTTTATAAAAAATAATGGCAAGATCTTAGTATCATGCATAGGGAAAAAAATACAACATTCAAAAATTGTAAATGGACTAATTACTGAGAAGTCCAATGTCTAATAAATTAATGGGAGATGCATATGGTTACACAGATGTAATTTTTTTATGACATAAAAACATGCTACTGATTACCATAAAAATGAGATTTTCAATAATTTAGTCAAACTGACAAACTTGTAATGTTCCGTATATGTGAGTGCATATGTCTTTTTGATACACTGAAGTTTACCTTTGCATGATAAACTAATGTTACAAACTTAGCAATAAATATATCACATGCAGTCTGTCCATCTTTAATTCTTGATTTCAAACACAAAGATCAACAAATACACAAAATGTTTAACATCTTATTTTCTCTGTGAGATAAACAAACTTTAAACAAACAAAATTTGTTTGAATCTTTAAAATTAATTATAAAGGCATCAGAAATAATTCATACCTTATTTCACTGAATAAAAACACCACCATAACATAAGGATGAGTTCTTATCAAAAAGGTCATTTTAACCATGATACATCATGCAAAAATCGTAAATAAGAGTTTTAAATACATAAGCCTTCACACAAGATTTCTCTAAGAACCAGATAAACCAAGGCAGAATTGTATGAAATTAAAATTAACTGAGCCAAACAAACACATTAAATTAGAGAATGCAAGATGGCATTTCAGTAAATGGCAGCATTTTTTTTTAAAGATTGATCATTATTTTGAATTACTGCAGTAACTAAATTTAGTAGGATGATCATTTAAATTTGGAATTAACACATTTTGGTCACAGCCAAAGCACTTTCAATACTTACACATTAAAATGTCATTATTGCATACAAAATGCCGACTGACATTGCCCAAAGATAATGTCTGTTTTATTTAGGACAGTTATCAACATGCTCCAGTATAAAAGTTTTAGTAAGTAATATATACAGTGTTCACATAATTCTCTCTTCACAAGGTTAGTTTTTTACATATTTTTCTGTATTTAAAATCAATACCAAAACAGAAATTGCTCACAAACAGAAATAATTTCCTTTTATGTTAACAGTCTATTCCAGTAGTACTTCAAAGTACTTTAAATATAATTGAATTAAAAGCAAGACGGGACAGAAAAATATAATAGGCCAAATTTCAATGTTTTTAAATATAATATTTATGTATCAAATTTTATTTATAGGAGGTATACTTGTACTGAACTGAAATAATAATTCATCTCTACTTGATTTTTTAAGTTGCAAAATGAAACACATTAAAAATAAGGACATATATTACATGAGATTATCTAATTATATCACCCCTAAAGTAAAGAGATATCTAATTAGAATGTGCAGAAAGTAAGAGAATGGTGAAAAATGGAATCTTAAAAAATATGAAAACGATAATTAAACTGGACAATAATTGTTTGTTGCGAATGCAGAATACTAATCTTTAAAATTTCCTCTCAAAAAAGAGACTAACATAAAATACTTTTTTTTGCAAGAGATAAAGTAAGAAAGTACACTAATGTGCAAAATTAAACCTCTGAGTGGTGCAGACTTTTATACCTGTCATGAAGACCTGTATTTATTTAATCAGCATTTATCAGCAAAATTTATATAATTACTTATTTCCGTCTCTATGCTCACAAAGACATTTACGTTAAGATGACATTTACATTATTCAAGAAATTTGGAAAACAAAATATCTCAAATTATAAACCAATATATAACAAACTTTCAAAAAGTCACATACCGATAAAGCTGGTCTGCGACTCAGAGGGCTAAGAGAATTTGAAAATTATATCAATTTTTATCAAAAGTATTGAAACAAAAGTACTAATTATGCTGCCACAGAATTTTTCAAACATTCAGAGTTAAAAACATAGGCATATATGTACACTGTGCCCTTGCTCCCCAAAAAGACAATTCTATATCTCCAATTCTACTGGGCCAATTGACGAAATTCAAACTGTGTTTTTCATGTCTCGAAAGCACGACTTAGGATATGTATCAAATTTATATATAGCGTTGTTCTAATATAGGTATTTTGACAAAAAATATCTGACTTTTTCTGAAATAACATGCCAATTTTTTTCCATATTTAAATTCTACGACTCAAATTATGCCAAACTGCCAAGTTTTGTAAAAAATCCATCGAGTAGTATTTAAAAAATTAGCTCTCAAAATTTTAGCTCCTCAATGTTAATTGAATTTGATATATATTTATTAATATCTCTTTTTTTTTAATTAAACATAGTCGATTTCTCCTTTCATATTTTGAAATTTAGGTTCATTCCAAATAAAATTCGCCAATATTTTATGACTTCTTATTAAATTTGTATTTTTAAATAATTTTGAATTATAACCTATAAAATTTTTGCCATAACCTTAAAGTAGATGTATTTTTAAGCATGCCTGCAAAAAATTTGAGTTTTTTATTCAAAATTTTCTAAGATATAATGTGAAGTTTACATTTTTGGCGCGATTTGAAATTTGGCATATTTATTATACGCGATAATAAATAGAATGTGGTGTACGCACTTTGTTAAAATTAACTGAAAGTATGAACTGTGACTCCCCCCTGCTTGTGCACAAAGAAAAATTCAAAGGGAAATAGGTTGCTATAAATTAAGAAGTTTGCTAAGTGAATTATTCTTGGCGCAACTGAAAAAAAAATTCGCCAAGGTAAATTTTTCCATAAATTTCTCATGAAAAATTACAAAATTTAATATCTGGATATAATTTGAGTCGTAGAATCGAAATATGGAAAAACTTTGGTATGTTATTTCAGAAAAAGTGCGAGTTTGTGTCAAAATACTTATTTTAGAACAATGCTATATATAAATCTAATATATATCCTAAGTCACGCTTTTGAGACATAAAAAAATGCAATTTGAATTCCGATTTGTGTTCTCATACTCCTTCATGTTTCCTGGCCCACCAGCGGCCAAGTGGTAAAGTCGCTGAACACTGGTAGTTCGGTCTGAGGTTCGAATCCCGCAAACGAGCTGGCTGCATGGGTGTTTTCGTGGTTTTTCCCATGTGTAACGTGCATACAAGCCAGTTTCTTTGCGAAAGTCCTCCACAAAGGCATCCCTCCCCTTAGGCAGATAGCCCTAGTGTGCTTTGCCATAATTAAATACACCACCTTCATGTTTCTAATGAGAGTTGGGTAAATTTTATAATGTACACACTAATATGGGTAGCTATGAAGGTATGGATGATGAACGAGAAGGAGAGTTATCAGTAGGTTGGGAGCAGGTCAAACATAACAGCAGGTAGCTATACAACTCAATGTTACACCCAGTGTCATCTGCCAATTTACGGAAACCATTTTAGGACACTGGATCCTTATCAAGACCTGGACAAAGTCGACCAAGATACACTACATCGAACATGTATCATTACTTTGTACTTTCAGTGTGGTGACACAGGACTGCAGCAGCTTCACAGGTCTCACGTGAGCTGTATGCTGCCACTGGAATCCAATTTTCATGGTGTATTGTTATGGAAAGCTTCATGAGATAGGACAATATGGCCAGAGGACTTGCCATTTGCTTCCCTCTCACTGCAGCACACAACAGAGCACATACAGCATAGTGCAGATAACAAATGCATTGGACCAGATTTCACCGCAGCACCGTGCTTTTTACAGAGGAGTCTAGATTCAGCTTGGACACTGATTCTAGGCATATCTATATATGGAAAGCCTGGAACATGATACCATCCCTAATCAGGGAAAAGGAGCATTATGGTGGTGGTAGTGTAATGGTTCGGGCAAACATTATATTGGACAGTCTCACACCCATACATGCATTTCACAAAGGCTCCCTAACTGCCATAAGATATAGAGAGAGATCTTAGAGCCCTATATTTGACTTTTCAGGGCAAAGTTGGTCCTGGGTTCTTGCTAAAGAATTACAATGCTCATCCTCAGTTGGTTGACGATTACCTGAAAAGTGAGGATATTCAGTGCATTGATTGGCCAACCAGATGTCCTGACCTTAACTTTAGATAGCATGTCTGAGATGCTGTTGGAAGGACAATTTCATCTCACCATTCCCTTCCCAAAACCATCCAAGAGTGGAAAACTGCCTTACTGCAGGAGTGGTATCAACTGTCACAGAGTCTCATCAACTGCTTCATGTGTATGCCATTATGCTACATGACCTGTCTGGTTACAACAGAGGATCATACTTTAGACTCATTTTCAGTTCGATATCCCAACATGGATATGCGACATCCTTGCACTGTGATGTTTATTGATAATCATGTGTACATAAAATGACTTCTGAATGATACATCTCTTTCTCTGTTATAAATGTATAATCGTATCAAAATTTCATTAAAATTTGCCCATTAGTTTTCCAGAAATTCGACATAATGTGTAGATTCTCCTAATTTTGCACATGAGTATTATTCTAAATAATGCATTATTGCATCTTTAAAAAAAATTAGAATAAATTTTGTCTTAACAAAATTTCAGAAACTATTTGACATTCATCATAGATAATTGTTTAAATTTATATCAGCTTCTGACAAAAATGCATGTATTTTATGAATAATGAATGACAATGCTATCTTACAAAGAGAATTTTGTGTGGTACCATTTACAAATGATCTGTGTATCAAAATAACCTTGCTCTTCGTTTTAACTCATTTCGTCGCCATTCTGGTAAACGATAAAATTGAAGACGAGTCATATGGAATAAGGCTTGAAATTCTTCATTTGAAAGATGTCTCTATGAATATAAAGTATCAAAGACATGCATTACACATAATATATATTGAAATTCATGAAAAAAATTTTCTTCAACTGTACAATGAAAAAGAAAGCAGAAAATAACTCATACCTCCAAATGACAACGATCAACATCAGAAGGAAGGCGATAGTTTGATGTCATTAACAAATGATAAGGATAACACTGAAATTAAAAAAAAAAAAGTACTGATTCAAACTGAATTATAATTTCATATTTAAAAAAATCAGATTTTTACATGCAATTCAAAAGTCAGCTTATTTTTTAGTTTAAAAAAACTTTTGAAAACCCGAAAATATTTTACTTACTCATTTCTGATGCTTAACAGCAAATGTATTAACTAGGTCAAATAGTTAAATTAGTCCTTTGTAAAAATGGCAATTAATTAATCAGTAGTAGTTTAATATTAATATACTGAAAGAAAGAATTTCTTTTCAAAGCAATTTCTACAATATGGAGATGTATCTATTTTGCGTGCATGTATTAAACATTAATGAGTATATTTAACATAAATGGACTGAAGGAAAAGAATTAATAAAAATGAGCAATTTATTTTAGAAAAATTCCCAATTACAAATTATCTAAATGATTTATTTACTAAAAAAATTACAACAATGGTTAAATACAAGAGAAAAATCCCCAACTATCTCTCCTATTGAATTCACTTATATTGTGAAATTATGTAAAGAAAGCTCATTAAAGAGAAAATAATGCATTAAAATGCGAATTCACGGTAAAAAAGCTGACTTTGGAGGAAGGAGGATCTCAGAACAAACTACTAAATTCAGAAAAATTTGTAATCTTATTTACTAACTACTTTTAAAAATAACAAATATCTGCTAAACAGACATATGCCTTAATTTAAAATTTAGCATCAACAGGGTTAATCCAATAAACAGCAAACCAACACTTTAGAAAAAAGTCATGCTCTAGTCATGCTAAAATATGAAGAAATATCTTTTAAATACAATTACCACATTACTTCAAATTTAAGATACAGTAAAATTTTAAATTAGGAAAAATAATAGAAAATTAAGATGATTTTGTGATAAGTATTGAAAAATGTAGAACATTTTTGTTTTCATAAATAGGTACTAATACAAATTTAATAGGTTACCTAATTTACACAGAAATACATATTCTCTTTGAAGATAATCTGCACCCTAATTTTACAACTTAATAAACCATGCCACTTAAATTCGAAGTAATGTGGAGTATTTAGAATTTAAGTAATCCAATATAAAATAGAATAAAATATAAAAGAAGATGTAACTTTAAGAATATAAAAGCTAAATTAAATGCTAAATAGTTTTGAAATGCTTTTCTTTGAAATAATTTTTATGCATTCCATTTCTGTGTTGGAATCCCAACTACAGAACTGCTGCTGTATATATCATAATAATGGTTACTGATAGCATGAGCGGAAACATTTATTTTCTTATGATACATCTACAGCCAGATATCATTAATAACACAAATATCTCAAGCAAAACGCATAGAGTATTTTACAAGAACGCAAGTTCAAATGCACATAATTTATCATAAACAAATCCTATAAGACTTTTTTAGTACTTTAAAAGTAAATATATATTTTACATTGCATTTCAAAGGCCATTACTTTATGTGAAGTGTCGGATGATGATCCTGTTTGTTGAAAATCATCAGACTCTTATTTCTAAGCCAAGATCTGAGCTTATAAAGAACTAGTCAATTACAGCTTCAATCAGCAGTGATAATAAATATTTTGATAGAAGCATATTTGCTCATTTGGTATAATACTTGAAGGTGTAAATGCAATTAACACACATTACAGGTAAACAAATATAATGAAATGGGATGAACTATTTAATAAAGTTTTGAATTTACAGTAGTAATGGAAATAATCATTTAAAATATTAAGAATTAAAAGATACAAGACGGGGATATGCTGGAATTCAAAACAAGACAAATGCTCCAGCTCAAACAACTATTGTCCTATGTTGTCATGACAGCAGGTCCTTTTGATATAAACAGACAAACGTATAATCCAGAGACGTCTCTGTGCACTAAGGGGGGGTAGGACTTTGCCCAAACTTTGTCTAATTGTCCAATGTGAACTTTGTCAAAAATTACTGATATAAAACACAGTTTGGGGAAAAGAATGCAACCAAAATCATAAAACAGTAGCTACTCAAATTGCTTGAGAGAATACATTTTCTTGAACTCCTCTTTTGGCAGTTTCACAGTAATAATATTCATATAAAGATACTAACAAGACCTCTGATAACTAGTACATTAGCTTAATGCATGTTTTAATACAATCAGAAGAACAAAACTTGGATAGTATATGGTACAAAAATGGTTAAGATTCATGATGAGCCCACTTCATTATATTTTCTATTTCTTGGAGAGTTTATGTGCAAACAGTTTCTTTGGAGATATGTGGTCTGGATTAGCTATGCTGAGAGTGAAGTATGAGCATGGACTGATAAGAGTTTGAGCTGAAATATCGTGAAATTAATTCTCTGAAAGTAATACTGTTCTTGAAGGCTACATCACTGTTAAAGATTATTGATTTGTTCTACAGGAGTTACTTTGGTTAAATCTTAAAACTATGTACCTTAAAGAAAGGTGCAAAACATCAGAATGGCAATATACAGGTCATACTGCAAAAAGAGGGGATAAAGAAGTTTCAACGACATGAAAGTGAGCTTGACCACTTATTCCATTTTATTTCTTAAATTCAAGACCCATCGAATCTGTCTGGGGAATACAATAAATACAGTGTTAAAAAATACTTTTCTCTTCCACCATCATGAAGTAAAATAACTCCTCCAGCTTGCAAAAGAAATTGTTACAAAGATTGCATTAATCATTTGCAAGAAAAATTGCAGCAGATTTGACCTCCAAAAGAAAGATTATAGCATGTTAATAAAATATTAAATACCAGAAACAGGTACTTCAGTTTAACTGTCCAAACCCTGTATTTCTAAATCATACAAACAATGAGCCTTCTGATAAGTTTAAACTGCAGATATTCTTGTGATAGCATTATGACATTACTTTAAATCTTATATAGATAATACTATAATCTCAGATTTATTAAAAAGGCCCCTCTAAGCAGCTCCAGTCTGAAATATATTTTAATACTCACAAAAGCCAGATGGCTCAGAAATAACCAAGTGTCCTTTGCAATAAATTACACGACTTCATTAAAATTAATAATTTAATTTATAATGTATTGGAACTATTATGTATAATTTAAGGCTCTAATATCAGGGTTGCCACTCAAACAGGAGAATGAAATTCCCTGACTTTTCCAGGTTTTCCAGGTATGTTTTGAGAGAATTCCAGTCTATCCGTGTAATGTACGTTGGCTGTGCTAAGAGGTAAATTTATTATGGTATTACTTGTACTGTGTAGCAAATTCACTTAATTATTCAATAAATCCCAGATGACAATTATTCTTAATTATTCTTGGTACACTTTGTTTGCTAATTTTGTTTACTTTTCCGCTTAAAAAACTTAATAAAATTTAAGATATATACATTGGATAACAACTGTATGTTTTATTTAATTATTACTCATGATCATTCCCAGTTCAACACGAGGCTAATCCGGTTCTTATAAATCACAAAGCAATGCTAAAAGTTAGGTTAGATTTTAGGTAAATTTAATTTGTGTGAGGTGCTTTCTTAAAAGGCACCTTAACACATGAAAACACAAATACAATTATAATAGGAGTTGTTTTCTCCACTGAAGATTGAGATTAGAATCTGCCCAATCTGGAATAAAATAAGGCTTTCTTTTGCAGACATTCTGCAGCTAAACAAAAGAAAGAAATCTATTTAATGATATTTTTTTTACTAAATTGAGGTATTTTATATTTATTTCGCAGCATACATAAAGAAAAAATATGTGCATTAAATTTCGTGATATCATCATACTGCTAGAATTAACTTCAGGATTATGCCAGAGAAAAATTTCCTGAAATTTGGAAATATTATTTTACTAATGATAAATAATTTAGAGGAAGAAGCAACATTAAATGATATGAATAACATAAAAATAAAGAATTACTTAAAAATTTAATTAGAATAATCAACGATATTTTAGCGAATATAGTTATATAACATGGTTATCCTAGATGATTGGTTACTATTTTTTTATTTTACTGCAAAATGACAAGGTATTTATTAAAATGAAAAAAAAAAAAAAAAAAAAAAGATTTTTGCGGTAAAATCCTAGTATACGATACAGTCTTCGCATGATTTTTAAAATTGTCGCCAAGAACAAAATGACCCGTTTACTGCTCATCATCATGTCACCAAATCTCGCTGTACCATACATGGAGATTATTCTAACCAAAGAACGTCTATGTAAAAAGCGGAGGGAAAATTTACCAAGGGATTTGGCGACGGAACCTGGCAGCCAGAATTTCCCTCTCCGCGATGTGTACAGGAAATTGAGAAACACGTATTAAGAAGAAACGTTCTTTGACAAAAAGGAAAACTATGAAAATCCGTTTTTAAATTATTGCGAAAAATCCAAGAAGAAACGTTTTATCAAAGAACGTTTTTTTCTTGGATTTTTCGCAATAATTTTAAAAACGGATTTTCGTAGATTCCCCCCCCCTCAAAATATAACTAATCCATGAATTAATTTACTTGCGCCAAAAAATATTTTCTTTTCCTTTAAAGAAATTTTAAACGATATTCATTTTATGAACTCTTGATAACGTGACCTTCGAACTTCCGACACCGCATTCTAGCTTTGGCGACAGATAATATCGCGCATGCACAGCTGTTTCCCACTATGATGGAACGGAGCCACCTCTGTTGCAGAGAGGTTTTCCTTCTTTACAATACATATTTTTTTTTATTCTAACCTTCATGGTACCGTATACTAGGATTAAACCCATTTTGTTTTATACGAGAACAGGTACTTTCTTTAGTTCATGCACTGTACATGGGATTCTCGAGGTTACTGGAAACCAAAAGTTGCGGGAAACTTGCTTTGCCTTTCTAAAAGAAGACAATCAAATTGGAGCTGCGAAAATTGGCTCTATGCCAGCTGCCCGAATGACACTCATGTGATACACAATTCGCCAAAAAAGTTATCTCTTCCGACGTCGGCGCAAAACTCGCCTTTTTTGGCGGGATCGTCGTATGAAATTCCCTCACTTTTCCAGATTTTGACTGAAACACTTAAATTCCCTGACTTTTCCCTGAATTTTTTGGTCAATTTCCGAATTCTTTGACTTTTTCCGGTTTTCCCGATAGCGTGGCAACCCTGTAATATTCCTGATGAAACAGACTCAACAATTACATGCTCTTTTATAAACATATACTCATCATTAATTAAATTTGAGAATGCAGTCAGAAGAAATTATCAACTAAATTACCAAATTATCAATTAAATTATGAACCAAATTAAATAACAATTAGCAACCAAATTCATAATGATGTTCTATCACAGCTTGCTGTTGCTCTAAATTATTGCAAAAAATCAACACGACGTATATGTTTCTCTTACGTTTCATCTAACTTAATGAATCAAGTCAACTGCACTTTATAAAAGCTTCGGTTATTACCTAAATATAATTTCTCCTAGTTACAAAAATTTTACCAATAAAATTGCCACAAAATTCAATTAAAATAAGTAAAAGAGTTCATTCATACAGAAATATCTTTTCATAAATTTAAATTAATTCTTATCTGCAGAGTTAAAGAATTGTTAAAATAAACAAAATTACTTTCAAAAAAATGATAAACACATAAATGATGAAAACTAATGCAGAATATAAAAAAAGTGAAATACTTTTGGTGGTTCAGTAGAGAGATGAAGAGTTACATTAGGTAATGAATGTCTCAGATGAGGACTGTACGTAGGGTAACGAAATCCTCTAAATCCTTCAGAATATGGTGTACCTCTAAAGATGCCATTACCACTATGATTCTGAAATAGGCACAAAGTACAGATTAAAAGAAAGGATTTCAATACATTTATTTTTTTTACAGATTATACACACTTTTTTATTTCTGTCATATAGAAGAATTGCTACTGATATATGACAGAACTGTAGTAATCACAAAACTAATCAATGTTACTGAAGGAAATTCAAATATTTATCCAATCAATATCAATATAATATCCAATTTATCAAATATAAATCCAATTAAATGCTATTTTTGACGTAACAGAATTATTTTACTTAATTATATATGCACTGCACACATAACAGTTTTCAGTTATATAAAACTTTTTATGAATATATGAAGTTTTGCTCTTGTGCAGATTTCTTTTCACATGATTTTGAACTAACATAGCTTGAAAGAATATTTATGCATTAAAGAAATTGCTGATATCAATGCTTTCATTCACGATAACTTGCCAATAAACATTTGCCTTGCCATTGAAACTTAGCATAAATATAAAAGACATCTTTTTCTGCATCCACTGCCTGTTCTATGTGTGTGTAGTTGTTAGCTTTTTAGCCTGTCTTTCACAGTCCACCCCTTTTGTTTTATTTTTTTATTTTGGGATTTATAAGATTTGACCAGAAAATAAAAGGGAAAAATATCCACTCCTCCTTACACTGTTGAACAATCACAAATGCAACTGCAGGCAAACTGTAGCAATGAGAGTTGAAAACTCTATTGGATGATTGTGACAGTCACATAGAAGTCAGTGAAGCCATTCATTGTTATTCCAGCCCATACAAATTAATAATCCTCCTTTGTAATGGTCTCTGTCAACAATGTTTGGCAAATGATTGCGTATCCCTGGCTCTCGCCATATCATTGCTCTTTGGGAATCATTCTGGATGCTAAATTGAGACTAATCCATAAAGAGAATGTGCCCCACTGCTCTGTGGAGTTCATGGGCCTAATTGATGGCCCCAATTCACAGCAACAGGAAGTGATCGTCTGCCATTGTAGTAATCTGCCAGTGTCCAGATCCACGCCTTCTGTAGGGGTTTTATTCCTTTTGGTAACAATTCCACAGCCTGTTGATGACACTACGATGCATAATCAATTCTCTAACAACCTTGCACCTACTTGCAACATACCAACAGCCCTCCAATACATTTGATCGTGCATGTGGCGTCTTCGGCTCATGCTTTTCGCTTTGACTATCTCAGATTACACAAAACCATCGCTGCTTGCAAACCGATGCATAGATCCGGCATGCCCCTTTTTAAGGCATTGTGGTGTAGCTGCAGGATTGCACCAGCAATGCAGACTCTACTTCATATGTATATTGCATGTTTTAATTTCCCTTTTCTTTTAGCTTTTGTTGCATATTTTTTTAGAACACTTTATTTTTAAGAGCTATTTCATTGCAAATAAAGTATTTTACAAAAGAAGTACAACTACATCATTTGCAGTGATTGCCACTCTTCTAGATGGGTCTAAATGCAACCAAATGTACCAAGTAAAATTTTTTAAATTTTCCTTGTCAGCTCTGGTTTACCATTTCACATGATTAAAGGACACAATTTCCATTCATTTAAAAAGAGAAAAACTAATCCTGACTTGATGATCATCCATGCTAATAAGTTAACTATAACTTCCTCAGCGTTTCTGAGCTCGATTTTGTCCAATAAAATATTATTTACTTTTGATCAAACTGACTTTCCAAATTCTGATAAAAAACAGTGATAATCCTTTTAATTCTGATTTTAGCGTTGAAGAACTTCATAGAGCAATACATGGGACCGGAAAAAGCAAGACTGCTGCCTTAAATGATTTAATATTCGAGCTCTTTTTAAACTTGGGAGAGAAGATGCATCGAACCTGATCGGATTTTGCAATGTAACTTAAACACTTGTGTTCCAGCTGAATGAAATGGCTGCCATCATTCCACTTATCAAATTATAAATATCAGCATATAATGTATCTAATTTGGACCTATCTCTCTAAAAAATACTTGTAATACATTGGCAAGAATGGTGGTAAATGGACTAATTTGTTTTTAAAACAAAACATTATCTCTGACTACCAGGCACAGTTTTGTAAAAAGAGAGGCACAACATAACAGGCTGTTTTTTTAGCTTACTGCATTAACAATTACTTTCACAGAAAAGAATCAATTCTAACAGTGTGCAGACTTTCAAAATGCTTGCAATATAAATTGACAGAAAAACTTGCAGAAAAATTTATTAATGATAATATTAAGGATAATATGTTAAACTGACTGAAATCTCTTCTTTTGCCAACAACTGCAAAAGTGAAAAAACAAGATAGCTAAATAAATTCAGCTCCAAAATGAAGTTCCCCTGGATGGAGTGACAAAAGTGTACACTCTTTAACATAGGGCTTCTCAACCAGGTAAGAATTTCATAGTTTCAGGAGAGGCATGTGGTCAGTCTTTTATTTAGCTGCTAAGTATCTAATTTTAGTTTATAAATATAAAAATGACTTTTATACAAAGTTTGGTATTTACCAACATTTTCTATATTTTTTACTGTTTAATTTATAAAACATCTTGGAAAATAATCTAAATTTAAATAAATGTATAAGCATTTTTTGAGTTCTGGAAAGAAAGAGGGATGATCGTCTAGCAATGCTGTAAGGGATGTATGGGGTAAAAAGGTTGAGAACCACTGAGCTGCAGTCTAAGAACGACACAATAATTCGTGTTAATTCGACACAATAAGCCTACGTGTGGCAAAATCATAAATCTAGCCTTTCCATTCAAGTTTGCTTTGACTTAGAAATCCGTTTTCATCATCAGTTAAATTATTGGGTTGGTAACAATTAAAAATTAAACTTTTGATTCCAAAATTCACGTATTTAGCAACGGCACAAGTGTATGTATATACATATTCAATTTTTTTGTTTTTCTGAAAAACAACCAAAATTTGGTACATTATTTTGGAAATTCCGAAAAACTTTTATTTGAAAGATTATTTATCGATGGTGCAAGGTGCGAAATTTGGACACTGGTTAGATGCATTAAAGTCACTGATGTTGATATCCAACAAAATAAACATGAACATTTTTCATGAAATAACAGAAGGTAAAGTTCCTGTTGTCATTTCATCCTGCCTCTGATACATCAGTATCTTCCCAAACATCTCCCATCAATTATAAAGAAGGGAGCAGGGAAAAAGGCTGAAATCAAACAATTTTTAATATTATATTAATAATAAATAAATGTATATATGTATTTTCCAAGTTTTGGAAAGGAGGCGTGGAATGTTCTAGTAATGATGAAAAGGGTTGTATGGGGCAAAAAAATAGAGAAAAACTCTTTTAACATTATGATTGAATATTTAATTGCCGGATTATGCATGAAAGTTGCACCCAGTGCCTAGCTCTTGTTAATTATATTGTCATTTTTACTACACATGAAGTTTTTTATCGATCAAAAAGTCAGTGAAGTCTTAAAATTTTTACAGTTATGTTGCAATGAAAATATCATACCTTTGAAGCCTAATAAAGACTGTCTGACAACTCTTTTTTTCTGTATACAAAATTTCCCCAAATATGGGAGAAATATAATTAAAAAAATTTTATTAAGTGGATTCTCACCACCTTGACGTTGTCATTCACAGTAAATTCTCCTACCGATATCAAGCTGGTGAGTTGGCTGATAAGGACAGAGGGTTTTAAAAAGAATAGCTGGTATCACCTGGAGGTCTTCATTACTCATTAATATTATAGATTTATTTTGGATTAAGCAGATGAATTAAATGCCACTGCTTCAACTGCTGATATGTTGCAAAATAAAGCCCTTACATTAACCAGTAAAGCTGCTAGAGTAGCCAGCTTTAGTACTCGAAATCCAAACTGATCTAATGTCTTTGAAGACCAAAACAAGAAAATAACTCATTAAACTCCATGAAAAATCTAAACGACTTCACCAGTGATATTGACAAAATTATATCTCCTGAGCCTAAGGCTATAAACTCATAAGAATTTTCTAAGACTGATGAAATCAGGACGTTTCACAATCCACTCCCTGCTACTTCTTACTGGTTCTTACTCATTCCCGTCATCAACCGAATAAAATTCTGTATTATAACATTCCAATACGCATTTCAGGGAAGGAAATGAAGCCATTCCAGTAGTTCTAATAATTATAAAAAGCATCCATACTTTTTGCCCAAGTAAAAGGACTGGTTTTATATCTACATCGATGGTTTAGCTGGAGATTTCAATGAGAAATGCCTTGAAGAGTTCTATGTTGTAGAACTGCAACAAATTCTGATGCAGCACATTTGATTACAGCTACTACAGAAAATCTATTAAATTTTCATATGACTTTTAAAAAGGCTACCCCCACTGATTCCCAAGCTTTGTCTAGTAATTTTCTATGCTTTTTTTGGGGTCTTCCATGCAGTCAATAACTCGCCTTGAATGAAAACATATAATTTTTTTCGGGTTAATTGAAAGATTACTTTTCATTAAATTTCTAGCCACTGCAATGTTCTATGAAATAAAGCTGAATTTGTAGCCAAAGATCACTGCAGAATGGAATAACTGCCTTTTCCCGAGCAGTTTGATAGCAAACAAAAGCAAAAAAAAAAAAAAAAAAGTCAAACTCCAGAATGTTAGGAATTCTGCTGGAAAGATTTTGAATCTTTTGTTTTCTTTTCCCAACCTACTGTGACTTGCTCATGATATTTTTACAGCTAATTTCAGATTCTCTACCAGATGATTTTCACCAAAATCATCTCAAACAAACTGGCGTGGCTCAAATTTAATGCTGTTCTTTGTGTTCATCTTAAGAGTCAATGAATTTCAGTCATTTGAGGTGGCCTATTGCTTTGCTTAACATTTATGATTCTTACCATGACAACTTTCAGTCTAAGGTTAAGCTTGATATGAGGTAAGGGAAGCGTTTATTAGACTATAGTCCTCTATTGATTTAATTTTTGAAGCACTTCAAGCTCACTTAAGTTTCAGCAATGTGAATTTTTTAGATTTAATTTTTTGCTGAAATAGTCC